CTGCAGGAGGGAGGAAGACAACCGATGAGAATGAGACACCACTCAATTCAAATGTCCACCAGATCTAGTGATAACACTTTTAGCTTAGCTTAGCATAGATCATTGAATCCAACTGGACCAGTAGCATTTACATAATCATGCCATCTATTTGTTCTTGACCTTTTTGTTTTGGTCACCAAATTCTGTCCTGGAAAGCTGGTGTCCAAACAAATACACTTGAAGTAGTTACATAAGGTGTTACTGGTTATTATAGAAACTTCCAGGCAGGTGTGTTGGGTTCCTCAGGAACTGAACTTGGTGAGCTCTGCTCATTTGGTTCTTGCGCATGGTTAACGTTGCAAGAAGATTGGGTGAGCTAACCACATAAGCATTCCTTGTTCCCGAAGGAGGAAATGTTGGAAACGAGTTTTTGAACAAACATCAATGAAACTCATTGGCTTACATACAAGAGCAGTAATGAGCTGAAACACCTGAGGCTAGTCTTCATGAGGTACTTCTTAAACTCATTATATAAACTATATTTCCTGGCAACTCTTTATAGCTTAAAATGAAAAAATAAACGCTATGCTACTGGTCTAATTGGATGCAATGGCCTATGCTAAGCTACGCTAAAAGAGCTATCGCCAATTCAGCAAAATCTCAAAAATTTTTCCAAAAAACACGCCAATTATTTTCTTGGGGGAAAGTTAAGGAATGAGTCCATGAGTAGGGTTCCTTTAAAAACCTAGGTTTTCCTTACCGATGCCCTCATTCTGAGAGTGCAGGAGCTCCATCAGAGGCGCAGATGCTCCCTCAGCATCGATCATCTCTGCTGACGGCTTGTCCAGGGCTAGCTCACACAACACACCAGCCGAAACACGCTTGATGTTCTCCACGTATGAGTAGAGGAGCTGACAGCACACATTAAACACACATTAAAACTCCTCAACTCGCATCTCTTCCCGACACGGTGAAACACCCAATCTTTGGTTAAAGAGCAATTGTGATGGAAGCAAAGTTTTTAACAGAAATGTGAAGAAAACTGTGTTTTTTCTGTGTCCATTTATTATAGCAACCCTATAGACTTCTACAAACTGCAAAAGTTTTTTTTACTTACTAACCCAAGTGTAAAGTGTCCCTAAATTAAAGTATTTTATAAAAACATTGCAATATTTTACTGTTCATTTATAGTATATTCTCTGAAAAAAACACATTTCCTTCAAATAAAAGGAAAAATAACCCTTTCAAGTTACCAGTGGCAGATAAAGTACAGTAGAACTAAAAGTAAAATGGCCAATTAAACAAATGCACAGTAGCTTCCCTGACACTCTCTTCTGGAATACCTGCACAAACAGAGGGATCGTCTGCATGCTGGCGATCTCTCCGCGGTTGATGGGATCTCTGGCCAAGATGTGCAGAGCACCCGTGCAGCCTTCCACGATCTCCTCCATTCGCACACCGTCCTGGTAAACAAGCCCCCGCACATAAGGAGGAGAAAGAGAGCATTAGTCATGAGCTAGTCGAGAGCTTTGTGCATGAAGTTAGTCACTTTTATCCAAAACGATGAACACAATCTAATGCCACTGTGTCAAGGCCAGTATTAGAAATGGTTCAGGTGTCAAAGTGGTGAGCGGCACCTGGTACGTTTGCTGGGCTCCGGAGCCATGTCTCTGTGTCTCCTGATGAGCTTTCAGCAGAAGGTTGACCAATCTTGGGATTGCGCCAGACTCCCTCAGAGGCGCCTGATTGGACGGACACAGTGCCAGGTTGCGGATCAAACCCACAGTGGCCTACAGAGTGAAAAGGTGAAAGAAAAATGTCAATAACTTAAGACTGTTTCATCGTAGCATTAACTATGAGTGTTTTGTCATTGTAACACAGAGAAAATAAGACACCTGGAGCGACTAACTTCTACCGTGTTGGCTTTTCAAATAAGTGGATTTGGAACATTTTAGGAGCAAGAGGCTGAGGTTTGAGCTCCCCTGAACTGCAGCAGTCATGAGTTTCTATTAAAAATTAAAAGCCAAGCTTAATGCATTGATCATGTTGAGATGCCTGCTTGTACAAGCGTGTAAATCTCAGCCTCGTGTGTTTGTGGACGCAAGAACGTACAGAGAGGTCGTCAAGATCAAGCCAGCTCTTTATAGTTCAGCGGAAAGGTCAAATGAGGCATTTCTCATTTTAACTTTTGTGTAATCGTCTGTGCAGAAGCAGCATCGGGTTATTGCTTCATTTCATTCTTGCTCCAGGAGAATGCTTCATTAGCCAGGGATGCAGATTAGAAAACACGGATCTCTGCAGGGTGGGAGGAACGCCATGCAAACACAAGCTTCTTGTTTGCGTTCAAAATCAAAACAGGGATGGTCCACTTGTTTGGTGCGCTCCAGGGGGTTTGGATGGCTGTGTTCACACTTCCTCAAACAAACAGCACTAACTGAGCAAAGGCATGTTTTAATGAAAACAAACATGGTAAGTGTGAACACAGCCTAAATGATGCCATAAGGTGGAAGTGTGTCCTCAAAAAATTGTCGTGCATTGTCACAAAAGAACACATCTGTGCGTCTCATTGTAGCCAATAAAACCTTATTTATATAAGTGCATACGTTTGTCAAATAATAAACATAATATGAATAGTTCATTTTCACTTTCCACTATGCCAGGGCTGTCCAAACTTTGTGCAAAGAAGGCAAAAAGGTTAAAATTGGTGGGGCCGACCTCTCTTTTAAATCTAAACTAAAAAGTTAAATGAAATAAATGTGTACTGATAAAAACAGAAAAGGATGAATATTCTAAGGTTCATTAGAAATATGAGCTTTGATCACCATAAAAATCTACATTTTAGAAATTGATGGTAAAGATCAAACAGTGAGAGTGTGCCTGGACATCTAGTGCCATCTTCTGGTGGAATATAAAATAGCATTTTTGTGTGTGTATTTCATACTGTGCTCAACACTGCTGGCGGGCCACATATTACTGCTGTTATGGGTCTTTGGGTGAAAATTTGAGAACACAAGCAACATGTTTAGACCATAGAGTAATATTTGCTTCAGATGTACAAAGAACATGATCCATGAATCAAGCTCTCTCCTGCCCAGAAATGGTAGATGGAGGTGAACCTTGGAAGGAAACTTCTCTTCTCAAAGCTGGAACTGTCTAGCATTCTCAAACGAGATATATTTATGTGGTCTCTAAAGAAGAAGATCATCACGATGGACTTAACTAGGGATTTTGGGAGGGTGCGGAGTGGAAAAGGCCAAATATAGGAAACTTGAGAGAACAAGGGGTGGACTGTTGAGGATGGTGGTAATTGGATGTAGGTTTGGCATTTCCTCATCATAGTAAGACTAAGTAGCCACAGTAAGAATAAGATGGTAGTAGCCTTGCCACCGCTTACCCAACAACTGGAGACTGTCTGATGACCTCCCTTCCAGGAAAAAGCTTCACCCATTGGAAATGAATCATCTTAGATGCATTATATAAAAATTCTTATTTTTTTATTAAAACACATTGAAGCAATGTTGAAGAATCTCTGCTCAGTCTGGTTCATAGATGTACAGCTGAATAATGAAATCTACTCCTCTTTCTCATGCTCTGAGTTTACTCTTATACACAGTGCAATCCTGAAAGATCTGCATTGTATTTTGAGCTGAACCTTGCACATTCAGAAGACCCATAATATTAATATCACATTCCATAAGCCGTGTAAAATAGCAGCCACTTAGAGTCTCAAATGCAAGTTTGTCTGGATTTATTATTGTGTACCGTGAATGTCTTCCACACGACTACAGAGAGTTTTTAAACTTAAAAGACGTTTTAACCCACAGCTCAATTGTTTGGGGCCATCTTTGGCATCTGAAACTGGCATACGGCATGAGTTTGGCAAATGTAATATTGTTTTTTCTCAACTGATTCTGTTTGAACACAAGATTCTGTTTAATCGTAAACTCAATTCATCTGTTTGCGGAGTCTTTGAACGCCTAAGCGTTTCAACAACAGACGTGAGAAAGTGTGATGGCGCTGTCGATATAAGCCTAAAATAAAAGCAGAAACAGATCAGTGATCACACCTCACACCACAGCAGAATAAACAATCAATGCAGACGCTTCGCTTTTCACACTTTCTATTATAGCGGCTTTGATTTAGTGCGGAATCTCTGCATGCAGATGCAGAGGGGAAATAAAAGCAGAGCGTTCCTCCTTCTTCTGGATCGATACACGCATGCTGAACTGTTCACAGCTCTTTGACACAAGCACAGGTTTCTGCTTGAGAGGTCTGATGGGATTACGTGTGAGATCATCTGTTCATAAGGAATCAGAAATTCACAAAGTGCCATATACAAGATGAGGAAAATGCAGGCTGCCATTGATGCGCCACAGAGATGTGAGTGTTTCGGGGACCTGCAGTTGTGTAGTGTCACTTTTACAGTAAATTATCTCAAGCTCAGAGGCATTGATAGACCACACGGTGCATTCAGAGTTCTACAGACCACCTGAGGTTCCTTTCTTAGGATCAAATGTACTTGGAAACAGATCGCTGAAAAACATTGCGAGTCTCCTGTCCTCCAGAAAGCCAGTGTGAGTATTCCTGTAGATTTAGGATGACAATATTGTTCCCAACAGGATCCCATCAGAGTCACAGTGTAATGTTTGACCTTGCAAATAATATTTTTGTTAAGAAAAAAGTATGGCACCACAATGCCCAGCTGTACCACTCTGTAGCCCAACACTAGTTACCTACAACAAGCTGAACCGGGTTGATCCAGATAAGTACCAACTGGTTGATGGAAGTGAGGCCAGTAGAGGGTGCTAACTTATTATTATTTTTTTTTTACAACACATGCAATACTATTGTTCTTTTAGCATTGAAAACGAAAATTGGGGTAAAACATGTAGATCACATGGTCTATATGCAAATTGGCATATGACATCATCTAATGGCTTTTGGGTCAGCCAATAGCAAATTTCTTTGCGAGGATTTGGCAACACTGCTGTTGTCTGTATGCGTCTTGTAGATTTGCAACAGCTTTCCGGTGGCTCAGTCAGTAGAGCATTGCACTAGCCACACCAAGGTCATAGGTTCGAACCCAAGGGAAAGTACGGACTGGACGGTGGTGTTTGGATGAAAGTGTATGCCACATGCATGAATGGAAATGTAACGACGACTAGTAAAATTGGTTTGATCAAAGGAACAAGGTACTGAATTGTTACTTTTGCAGCAATCTGGTGCTACAGAGAATATAAAATAACATTTGATGTAACATAATTGATGCTATATTAATTTATTTTGCACAATTATAGAAAATACCAACAAGAAAACCTAAAAAAACCCACACAATTCCTGAACTTGATTAATGAGCATTTGAAATGCGCGTAAAGCAGGTTAAAGGTGAAAGTGGGCAGCTGTGTGATGAAAACTGAAGTGGGGGTCCATGCCCCAGAAGAGCTTTATGTCTAGCAAAGTGAAGGAAGTAGGTTATGCATCTAGATTTTACGCACTCTAACGGGAGGGTAAACACTGGGGACTCAAATGAGAAGTTACAATAAGATCCTGTCTCTCTCACAATCTCCTCTAAATGTCTTTGGAGTAATCCCGGCATTCTGGCCATATTTGCTCAAAGGTCTCCCAACAATCCCTTATCTACCAATTGGCTCCATCACTCTTCCTTCTCTCCAGCAGTGGTGCAGGGGGCTTATGTGTTCTGTTGCAGACCAATGCTGCATTCTCTATGTGGACTAAAGGAGACTCTGCAAATATGTAGAGTGGTTTGACTGAAAGAAAAAGCTCTGTAGAGTCATCTACAGAATATCTGGGAACTAAAATCTCTAAGTTGATGCTTGACGTACTGCAGCACACAGTATAGCATGAAAGGGAATTCTATCGGGTCTATGAGATTGTTTGTGCTGGCTGTCTGTCATCGAAGGACCAGGCTGTACAGCAAATTACTTTTTCTTTCTGATCCGGTAGCACTTATATTGTACAAAAAAACCCACATGTAACTGTCAAAATGTCAGTCGCGTAAGGAATGTTTGAGGAGAGAAATACCAAGATCTACGCTGTTCAAGAACATGCTGCACAAAGCTTCCAGGAGCACGAAAAATACTAGAACAGGATGCTCTGAATATGAAGAACATAAAAAAAATCTATAGTATGTGACAGTGCAGTGTAAAAATATTCTGACATCTGTCTTGAGAATATAATTAAAGAATCATTACGCATATGATTTTATGGAATCCATTCTACAGAGAGCAGAAATCCAAAGATGTGGGGATCATTGTCAATTCCAATTATTTCTAATATAAAAATGCCATCACCAGAATAACTCACATTTCTGAATTTTAAAGTATTAACTCAACTCATTTTAAATGTGTTTGCCACTCAGTCTAAGTGAAGGGGGTGTGGCCTGGTGTGAAAGTGACGTCAGAACTCACCCTATATATATTTTCTATCCCAAATGTTCTGAAACTCAGATTTCAGTGTTTCCAACAAGTGTTGGTATCATCAAACTGCAAAAATACTGCCCCAAAACAATCCAAAGCTTTATATTTAAACAGCAAACTTCAATTAACACACACAGATGGAGACAAATAATGTTCTCACGCATGTTTGCTAAGGTTTGGGGGTAGATTACAACAAAAATCACTCATCCTGACCTTGACCACAGGCCAGTAGTGTGGCTGGCCCAGCAACTTGGTGATGGCAGGGATCCCATAGTGCAGCCGCACGGCATTCTGGGCCAGCTCGGCATCAGGATGTCGGCTGGTGAGGTGGCGCAGGGCACACACGGCTGGCTCCGCCACATCCTCTTTCTCTCCAGCTCGCAGAACAGCATGGATGAGCGCCTCCACACCACCACTCTGGGTCACCAGGGCTTTGTTTCGGGCGTTGTTGCAGGTAAGGTTGGACAAGATGCCAGTGGCACAAGTCAGCATGTTCACATCGTCCGAGCCCAGATGACTCACCAGGATCTGCAGCAGACCCTCCAGGCCTTCCTGTCAGCACACAGCAAGAGCATGTCATTTCCTATTGAGAACGAATGATCGCATTTATGTTCTTTGAAGTGAAAAGCTATTTTAAAAGTTTTCTCTATTTTAAATGCCTGTTTGTGTCAGTTCTGAAAAAGTAATGAATTCTTGCAAAATAAAACTGTTTATTTTAATTATCCTAAAATGAAGGGATCTTGTTTACAAGAGAGTACAAAAACTTTTTAACATTTTTTTTCAACATTTAGTTTCAGGATAATGCACTGATTATTTCTTTACAGACGCATCTCAAATAATTAGCACATCATGAAAAATTCTGTGATGTTTCTTACAGATTCTTTACACTGAAGGTTAAACAAGCCAGGGTCTCAGAAATCTTTTTGTATAAGATAATATCAATATTAAATTACTTTAAACCGAAAACATCTCTCATGAATGCAGCATGGCATGGAGATAATACATGATTCATAGAAAATCAAGTAATTTTTACACCAAATAGAGTACAGTTTCTAGCAAAATCAGCCTAGAACTAGACAAAATTAGCATTTCATGAAAGAAATGCGTGAGTGCTTGCGCTGCTGGTGTTTGTGCATACTAATAGAAATGGAAGTGTGCTCATCAGATGCCCCTATCCACCTTTCAACAAACAGTTACAGAGATGAAAGAGGTGAAGACCCTGTTTAGTGCTAAGCTTTGCTTTCATGCTCACATAAAGTTTTTTTTTTTCTGAATGAGGGGCTGAATTTGGTAGTTGCAACTGGACAAAGGCCAAACACATGTTGATTTGTGAAGTGACTTTCAAAGAAGAACCCCCGGCTATATGATAAAACACAGGGGAAAAACAGATTTAATTTAGCAACATTTGATTTAGGATAAGTACAACACAACTACAGCCAAGTTATAGTCTACCTTTATTTTCTTCTGTTACAAGTGTAAAGGCCTCTACACACCGGTTCGAATTGAGATTCCCTGAGATTCGGAGGGTGCTCTTTGTCTGCGTCAAGGAAATATTGATGTAATGACGCACCCTGACTAAAGATGGTGTTTGCGGTACAACAGATGCTCACCACACCAAACAGAGAAACGGGAGAGAACTACAGCAAGACAAGAACTCTAAAAACACATAGAATAAATCATGGATGTTGAGTAGTTTATTCTGTTGGTGGCCTGTTTCCTGTAGTTTATTCTGTTGGTGGCCTGTTTCCTGTACAAAGTCGCTATGGAAATCTGGGATGGTAAAAGAGCAGCCGAGTGGCTCTTTTATGTCATACTCATGTCTTCAAAACTTTCATTGATAATTCTCTTCGTGTAAAACGGATCCAATATGGCAGTGCAAAACTCTTTTTTTAATTGGCACCACTCATTGGGTCAGACCCATAGTTTGGTGCGTCACCAACGAGGACTTCGCCAACTTCGCGATGAAAATTTGGGTCAATGTGTAGAGGTCTTTAAATGAGGCCACCACTTGCAGCATGGGCTACATCAATGGGATAAAAGAATTGTGCTGAAAGATTGATTAATAATTCATTGTTTTTTCATCTGGATCACTGCAATTCTCTCTTGGCTTGAAACAGTTTGATCTTTTATATTCTATTCAAAATTGGTAGACATTCGCTCAACCATCCAAGTAATTGAACAGATATGTTTACAAAGGAACAGGTGACAAAAACATGACAAAGGTTTCTAAACATAACGTTTTAAGGTGTTTATTGTGGGTTGATTTAAGGAGATACTGAAGTGTTTTAGTGGGTGTTCTCATGAATTAATACCAAACAGCTGAAGTATCGGTGGGATGCTGCACAAATATTACAAATGCTTTGAAAAGTTGCAGCCGCTTTCCTCCCTAAGCAGCAGGATTTGAGGTATCATTCACCGCAGGTTAAGAGATTAGAATAAATCCCTAACCCTAAGCTTCAGCAACAATGCTAGCCTCTCTGGCAAACACACATCGAGTGGAAAGGCTGATTTACCTGCTTGGTTGCAGCATCAGAGAGATTCCTCAGGGTCCACAGGCAGTTCTGTGTCAGACGCTGACTCGAACCTGTCAGATGTTGGCCGAGCGCCTGCATACCTCCTGCCAAATGGAGAGAAAGTGGTTTCAAGTCCATATTTATCAGTCAAAACCACAAAAAAGAAAGAACAAAACTATCCAGCAACACAAGCTGCTCTAAAAAAGAAGGCTGCATTTCTCTATGGATTAGCTATTGTCTGCCAAACGTCTTTTGGCGTGTGTGAAGATAAACTACAAGCCACATGGTAGGGGAAGATAAAAAGAGGGAAGGAGATTATGAGACATGCTTGAAACTCCCTCTCATCCTGCGTTGTGACTACCTGATCCTCAGCTCTTTCTCAAGCGCGGGAGACAGCAACAGAAAGAGGATGCTCATGTTTTTGCACATCATGGCAACAAAACCTGAGATCGACCAAACGCTGCAAATTCTGTCGAGTTATTGAATGTAAATAAAGCGTACATACTATACTTTTACCCACACAAACACTCACCAGCATCTACAATAGCAGGCTTGTTGCTTGGACAGACAGAGAGCACCTTGAGGACTCTGCTGGTGGTCCAGAGGAGCTTCTCGTAGTTGTAGTTTCTCATAATAAATACCAAATATTCAGGACCACCGTTAGCCAGGATTATCAACTGAGAAGAGACAACACAACAATGACCATGAAGCAAAGACAGTATAAACTGTTCGTCTCATGGTGGTGCAACACACACCTTGCTCTCCTGGTTCCCGTACGAGAGCAGCTGCAGGCAGTCTGTGGTGATGGCCAGAAACTTGGGGTTGGATTTTTTCAGCAGTGGGACCATCCTCTGCAGCCCATCAGCCAAACGCACCGCCATCTTGGCTCCTTCCTGGTGCAGCAGCAGATTGTGTAAGGTGGTGATGGCGTAGAAGAGAACCGACTCCATTGGGGAACTGAAGAGAAAGTGGATAATGGTAAAGAAATCCGTCTGGTTTTAATGTCTTTATTGATGCAAAATGTTGATGTCTCTTTAATGAAACATAGCACAAGGTAAACAACAGTTTGTATCGTTGATTGAGGCATTAAACAGCGGCTGAGCCAAGCAGAGTGTCCCTCTGATGTAATACGTTGATGCTGTCAGT